CAGGAATCAACAATTGGGGCAGCATTCTTCACACAAGTACTGTCACTAAACGAGGGGACAATAAGATTAGATATATGGGACACAGCAGGGCAGGAGAGATACCACAGTTTGGCTCCTATGTATTATCGTGGTGCCGCTTCTGCTATTGTGGTCTATGACATCACGAACAAGGTACATATATTCATGGGACTCCCTTACCATTGATTCTTTCCTTCACTTTTCTTGCCATTTTTCTTTCTGATATTTGCTCATGCTGTGACTCATTGTGCAAGTTCTGAACTAGAAGCAGTGGTCTTCCATGCCCATGTGACCAAGTTGTTTGTGTTTTGATTTAGGATTCCTTTGTACGAGCCAAAAGTGGGTTCAGGAAGTACAAAAACAGGTAAGATATGTCCGATAAAGACTCACCATTAGTTCACTCCACTGGATGCAAAAAGAATTATGATTTATGGAATTTCGTGACCAAGCTCAGAATCAAATCTCAATGTTCAGAAGTACGAATTGCATTCAAGTGATTAAAAACTGTATAGAATAAAATTCTCTGTACTCCATCCCTACACTCAAAGGCAAAATTTTGTTCTTCAAGATAATTATGATAAAGAATGTGTTAACATTAATGTGATCCTAATCTGATGTATAGCATGCTGTTTTCATCAGGAAAACCGGGTATGGTTATGTTTTTGGTAGCTAATAAGGTTGATTTGGCAGACAAAAGAGCGGTAGGAAATGAGGTAGTTCTAATGCATTCTTCCAACTTCATCAATTTCTTGTGTCACTGGTGTTTCAAATGATCAAAACTGAATAAATTGATGCAGGAGGCAGAGCAATATGCCCGAGAAAACGGCTTGTTCTTCATGGAAACTTCTGCAAAAACTGCAGAAAATGTTAACGAGCTCTTTTATGACATAGGTGAATACTTTTCAATTCCCTTCTCTAGTTATTATAGATAGCCACATGCAAAATCTCGTGAATCCTAATAATTAAGCCAATCACCGATTTTTAATCTACTTGTGCTTATTAAAGAAACACAAATTTTTGTTTTGGCAGCTAAGATGTTGGCTAGAGCGAACCCTTCCCGTCAAGCTGGAATCGAGCTGCACAGCAGTGCCCAAGAAAGTAGAACATTGCCTTGTTGCTTTTCATGAATTCTTCACTTGATATATGATTTGATCTTCTTCTGAAATCCTGTTATGTTGTGTTTTGGGTGGTACTTCTCCCTACTTGTTCAGAGAGAAAGAAACAAAGATTTCATGCAATAATAGCTTTGCTTTTCGAGTAGGCTCCTCTCTGTAAATATATACAGTAGTTTCCAATGAGATGAGGATTTGCTGCCCACAACACTCAAACAGGAAGAGCACTCTATCTGGGGACGATGTCTTCAATTCACATTTTAAGACATCAACAAAACATATACCATCATAATTCAGGAAAATAGGCGCTTCTTAAAGTTCCATTAAATGTGTGACATACGGGGATCGAAAAATGGTCCCATAGATAAAATCTTAAATGAGAACAGAGACATCAAAGACGTTACTTTCGTCAATGTTGCAAGTCCTCCTCAACACACAGAACCAGATATTTGACCGAATTTGCTTGTATCTCAAACTCCCAAGTCGTTGCTATCATCCTTTCATCAAATGGAGTATTAAAAGACAGAAGAAATTGAAATACGATGAAGGGTCTTCGTAGTCTCTGTCGATTATATTCTAACAAGAATGGGACTTCCTTTGTGGTATATATTATAATAAATAGACTGAACATGACATGCAGAGTCAATGCAGTGAACGTCTGGAAAAACTGGAGCCCGGTGGCTAATGGAGTTACTGTAAAACAACTGGGGTTCATCCTCATCGAAATGGACAAAGCTGACACCTTCTTTTTTCACTAGTTTATAGCCTTCAATGCATTGGAATCATTACTCGAGGTCCCTCCAAAAACAGATACAGTATTTTAATTGAAACTGACTAGCATCAGCCAGGTGATGTAAATGCACGGAAAATTATTAAAAAATTGCATTTAATTTCATAAAAACAATCACATTTAAGTATTCTTATTTTAGTTGATATATATAATGATTTCTGAACGACAAGAACAGATTTTAGAATTTTCTTTTAAGCCACCTTGGAAAATTCAGGTGCACTCTCCCAAGTTTTACGATCTTTATGGACCTTATCCCCAAAAACAGAGACTCAGACAAGAGGAGAAATAGAGTAAATCGTTATGACTAGAGCTACTGGGAAAGCAACAACTTCACAAAAAACCAAGTACAAGCTATGTGAAAACTAAACTAATATGCATTTCCCTAAGGTAACTACTCCAGAAAGGAACGGAAAGCGAGGTGAAGATTGAGCAGGCACAGGCGTGACTTAGATAAATGTGCCAGGGCCATGGCCTGCCTGCAAAAATAGGTACTCCCAGCTTTCTCCCTTAGCTTTGCCCAATGCTGCTATTACTTTTGATCTTACCAATAATAACCAGAATTCCCAGATTCACTGGACTACTAAAAAAACAAAAAGACTGGATGCGTCACTGCTGAATCACCATGAAGGAGAAGTACAAGGGGAGGCTGAGGATGATGATGAGGGGCCATTGATGCTGTGGGAATCACTGCCTGAAGTGCCGAATGACCTGCCATTGCTAAGAGAAACCGAGCAAGCCTGTGCAGGGAGCTTCTTCATCGGAGATAGAGGAGGCGAACCAGATATCTCAGCTTCAACCTCATCATCATCGCCGGAGGATCCACTTCTTTCCAAACGAGAAGGTGAAGTGTCGGGCGTTTCAAACGAAGTATCCGCCCCACTGCTACACTTGCCTTCCTCGTTTTCGTAAATGGGATTCGAAATATACACAAGGTGTTCCCCGCCGCTGTTAGGATTGTCAGAACAAACAGGAATGGTTCCACTGATGATGCTACATTGCTCAGGGACCTGTTGGGTTGGCTTTGGGGGAGCCTTATCAGGCATGAAGGGTGCAGGTGGGGAAAAAGCAGAGACAAGTCCAATCTGATGGTATGGCTGTGAAACTGGTTGTTGGGTTTGCTGGATTTGAAGAAGCTCAGAATGATGCAACTTTGGTCCGGCCTTGTCGTCGTTGTGAGCAAGTGAAGGAAACAGAAAATTTCTTGGAGCTTGGAGAACACCATGTGCATAAATGCTACCAAAGGGTGGTGGAGGAGGAGATTGGTGTTGAGGGTAACGGGCTGCTGAAGGTGGCGATGATGATGATGACGCATCGGTTCTGGTGGCGGTGGGAATGGAAGGGGACGCGGTGTTTCTGAGGTGGCGGCGGCGGCGGAGTAAGAGAGAACAGTAGAGCTCAGCAAGGAGAACTAGGATGAGGCCAAGAACGACGGCAAGGCTGACCACCATGACCAATGTAGCACCCATGATCACTTTTGATGTGCCCTTCATCTTTCTGGAGCCCTGCTTCTGGCCTCTGCCTTTTATCTCGCAGGCAGTAAAAAAGAGTTGCAGTAATTATATATGCGAGAGGAGTGAGAACTGAGATTCCATTTTTGGCGGGAAGCATTTTATTATATCATGCTGGCCAAAATAAAATTACATTGTGAGCCACGCTATTCAAGTTGTATTCTTTCATGAGCACATCACTAACGGAATGGTGAATTGGTGATCCATGATATTCAAATAATGAAAAAAAAAAACACTCCCTCTAGTCTTACTTATAAGTTTTAAATTTTAAAAAAGATATGGTCTATTTTATAAGTTTTAATTTAGATTTGTTTTAACATTTAATGCATTTTTTTTAATGTTGCCCTTAATTATTTTGTTTCTTATCATATTTTTTTTATACATTCTCTTTTATCCTTTTATCATTTATTATAAGATCTTTTAAAAACAAAAATATATTTCTAACATATTTATTATTTTTAACTAATTTTAACTAATTGTTTCTTATCTATGAATTAGTTATTTAAAACTTATAATAAAAACCGAAAGGAGTAATGTTTTAAATACTTTGGTAAATTGAAAAACTTAAAAAAAATACTATTATTGTGAGCACTTACAGTTTCGTCCAAATTTAATTTTAGTTTTTTATTTTCAAATCATAATTTTTAGTTTTTATAGTTTCATAGGGATTTAGTTTAAACTTTGAATTTAATTCACCTTAATTTTTAGTCAACATTATTAAATATAAAGATAAAATATATATTTGGTTTTTTAATTTTATATAAGCTTTTAATTTGGTTCTTTAACTTAAAAATATATATTTTTAAGTTTTTGACTATAAAGGTTAAATGACTAGAAGTATATCTTTTGAAATTAAGGGGTTAAATTAAAACTCTATATAAAATTAAAAGACTAAATATATAATTTAACTTAAATATAAATATCAACATTAAAACTTCTTAAAAGTCCAGTAATTAAAATTAAGATTAGTAAGAACCAGATAAATTTTGTCAAAGGGGACAAGCTATAGAGTACAATGAGCACCAAACTTTGTGGCAGCATAAAAATGCGAACACTTGCATAGACCCAACGTCTGAATGGTCTCGGGTCACAGTGTCACGCGGCCTTCGGGTTGGCGCTAGCTTCATACTACCTCTAATTTTTAATATAATATTTTATTTGATTTTTATTTTTATCTTTGATAAGACTTTAATCTATTTTATTTATCATATTTATTTTTTTTAAAATAGTCCTTCTAATAATAGTAGTTCCAGTCAATATACCTGATTAACAGGGATATTTTAAGAAAGACAACATCTATTTATTACAAATAACTAACTTAACTTATTTTTTAATATTATCAAATCAGTTAACTAGCTCTTATAATTAGGACCCGAGATAATATTATAGAATCAGTCTCTGTGAATGGCAAATAGGACAAGGACTACAAGTGAAAATGTTAGACAAACATGATTGAATTGAAATGAGTTTTCACTTTTGGGGTGAAAACAAAATTTTTTAAATTTGGATGGTTTAATAGCAAACTCAACTTTTTTAGGTTTTCTTCATCTTTCTCCTCGTAGAAAGCTGAGGCACTGTAAGGACTAACGAAGTCCTGCAAAAATCGCGTGAAAAACTGGGAGAAGGGAGAGAAAGGAAAAGGCTTGATATTTTTCCTAAAACCCTTCACATAAAGACAAACCCCTTCAGAGAAATTTCTCAACCTTTCAAAAGCTTCAAGTGGGCGGTCTTACTTCTATGAAACTCCAAGACTGAGGAATTCAATGGAGTTCAAAGTGCTGTTTACGGCGATATAAACCGATTAATAAAGTAAAGGTAAGTGTGCACATCATTTTGATAGTGGGAAAAACAACTTATTTTCTGAGAACCCTTGCTGTTTGAATTTCCATTTAGAGAGAGAGAGAGAGTAGCGAGAGAAACTCTTGTTCGATAATGTTTATGCTTACAAATTGATGATAGAGAGGTAGAATAAGCAACGTTTTACCTTTTGCTTGAGTTTTTGAAGAGTTTTTCCCCCTTGACTTCCCTAAATATTCATTTTAGCCAAATTGGGGATTTACATGAAATTGTGCAATTCTTGATTTAATATGGTTAATAAGAGGTCTAAGGAGATAGATATGACAGGAAAATGATTTCATATAAAATTTAGGAGAATTGATCTTGAGTTTTAGATTCTGGGCTTTTTGATTGACTACGTGATGTTGAAAAATAAGGTAGACGCATGTTTCAAACCGATACAGAAGTTTAAGTGTTAATATTGGCTAAAGTAAGGAATTTGGAAAGTTTTGGATTCATAAAATAATTTCTCATTTTGATAATCCTAATTTTAGACCCTTAAAATTAAGGCGAGTAAAGCTGATCAAGATGGGAATGGTCTTGTAGCTTCAAATGACTGTCTCTGTCTATTGCTTATGAGCTTTCTGGATTGATTGTTTTATCTGAATACGCATTATAATTTCATCATTTTGCATCTTCTCATTCTTATTTTCTTGGAGAAGAATGAAAGTTGTTTCACCTCGAGTTTGTGGGTTGGCCTAGTTTGTTGAAGCAGAGCATTTTCTCCGGAACTGACTAGCTTTTGTAACTCCCACCACTTGGGGAGCTGCATGTGAAAGCGGCAAAAGAAAATGTTCTTGGATGTAAAGAAGAATCTTGCTTTAAGTCTGGAAAAAGTTGTTCTTTCTGGTTTTTATTTTGATCCTGTGAATCTTTAAATTGGATCTTTTTACAATTATGGTGATACTGAAAAGAGTGTGATTCTTCTTCTTCTTCTTTTTTCAATGACCGTATATAATTGGATTTTGTAAATCTTTATGCAATCCCTTCCTGTTTGTTGAGGCAGAGCATTTTCTCCGGAACTGACTAGCTTTTGTAACTCCCACTACTTGGGCAGCTGCTTGTGAAAGCAGCAAAAGAAAATGTTCTTTGATGTAAAGAAGAATCCTGCCTTAAGTCTGGAAAAAGTTGTTCTGTCTGGTTTTTATTTTGATCCTATGAATCTTTAAATTGGATCTTTTTACAATTATGGTGATACTGGAAAGAGTGTGATTCTTCTTCTTCTTTTTTCAATGACCATATATAATTGGATTTTGTAAATCTTTATGCAATCCCTTCCTGCCCTTTGTTTGATGGAAGTGATACATGATTGAGGTAAATATGGTAATATGATAATGTACTAAAACTAAGTAATCAAATCTATAATAGAGTCTGTCAGTAATGTTTCCAAAACAAAAATCCTGTTTCAATTTAGCCCGATTCTAAACAGCTTTTGTTTCTGCAAATATAGCAAGAAATATCTTACTTCTGCTCACTTTTCTTTGCAGAAAAATTTGATGATTAAATCATAAATTTTTAATTGGAATGGAAGGTGATATATTTGGAGACATAGACAATACAGCTGTCCAAGTAGATGGCAGAATCATTCAGGCATTTCAGAAGAACTTGCTGCAAGCCCAAGACATTTTGGATCAAAACAGATTGCTAATCAATGAGATCAATCAAAATCACTTGTCAAACATGCCACAAAACCTGAGTAGAAATGTGGGTTTGATCAAAGAACTGAATAACAATATCAGAAGGGTGGTTGATCTCTATGCTGCTCTTTCCAGTTCTTGTTTGAAGTCTCGAGAAGCTTCTTCCGAAGGGGACTCCAGTGGGACTCTCAAATCTGATGGAAAAGTTAGTCAAAAGAGAATTAGAATCAACTAACACTTGTCAACTAAAGGGCGGTTAGTTGGTAAGAATGTGATTCCACGTCTCATAAAGCATGGATTGTTCAAGTCCCATTACCTATGTGAAGACTTTATTAATAATTAGTTAATAAGTAACTTTACAAATGCTTTTTAAATTATGATGCTAACCTGCCATTGTTAGGTCCTTAAGATTTAGCACAAACTTTTGTTTAACCAAAAAAAAATAATAATAATAATAATAAGCTGTTGGTGTGAATCTGAGCTATCATGTAAAAAAAGTAAGGCATACTTTGGTGTTGGATATGATTTTTTCCAGGGATCATCATATATTCGAAATCCTGTCTAAGATTCAGTTATTATTTTTCCGATAAATGGACGTCTGCTGCATGAACAGTTTTAGTTGCAAATATATTATTCATTTTACGAAATTTAAAGGCTGTCAACTTATTATTTCAAGTGTTTGTTTTACATTAAAAATATTTAAAGCTAAACAATTTACGTGTTGTACGTACCCAATCTATCCCTACGTCCGGGAGGAAGCCAGGCTTTGCTTGTTTATTTATAAAGCAGAAAAGGAGTGATCGTCCTTCAATGATTTTGCTCTATTTATCCTGTATAAAAGTTTTACTATTTTAAAAATTCGACTTCAGGAAAATAAAAACATATCCAGTTATCCACACTTCTCGGCTTTCGCTTCATAATTTCCAACTAGCCGTTGAGGTCATATTGATCATTCGCGTTTTATTCAGTGTTTCGAGATAACTTCTCCACGTCAACACTTGCTAGGAATCCATCCGCCATCAGGAATCTTGTCACTGCATCGGATTACTCTGTTCAATATCAACTTCACTTGCATTTGCAGTTAAAGAAACAGTGTGGACAGAAATTTATCACCATAGATAGAATGAAAAAGTATTAGTATCATCACCCAAAAAAGAAATATGAAGAGTATTGTTCAATAAATAAAACTGTTACAACCTTTTAGTTTCGAGGTGTGAGAAGAGGGGGATAAATAAGAACCCTGCCAAACTACGCGCTATCTCATCTTTGTCATCAATTTGAATCAAGCATGAGCACCGAAACTCTACTTACAAACACTTCTATTTTACAGTCATAAGAAGGGGTGAAACGCACAACCTATTAGTTCTGAGAACGTCCAGCCAGAGGCCCATAAATTGCTATTGAAGCACCCCCGTTCTATCTTTAACACCAGAACGTGAGATTCTATGGGGAAGGTCATGATGACTTCAATTGATGTCCATGTAAAGAGGGGAAATGGACATGTGGAGCTAACTTCAGGTTCCTCTCAAGGCTGCAATCCTTGCAGCCAAATCATCATAGTCCGGTAACTTGGGGTGTACGTGTCGAGCTTCATTTGATCTGTCTGCCTGAAATGTAGCAGCACGAGTAAATACTTTGTTGGCTTTTTCTGCTCCTGTTTCTTCACGAGGAAGGGAAATGGATCGAGGTGGAAGGGTAACCATCTCTGGCGTCTCTTCAACTGCGTCATCCATTTGATGTGCATGACGACTTTTGGACTTTCTTCTTGCTTTTTCAGGAAGAGGGATGGAAGGCTTTTTACTATAATGAATCAGTAACTTATCTATCATCTTTTCCTCTTCATCATTTCGATGCTGCTCACCATCAAAGAGAGTTTGCAGGCCATGTTGAGGTCTTGATTCATCCTTTGTCCTGCTCCTTGATTTTCTTGTCACAACTTCAGCATCTTCTGCACCGTCATCCTTGTGACTAGACCGTGATTTTGAGTGCTTCCGCCTCGTGGATTTTGGTTTTAAGACAGGGACTTCTGGCATATCTTCTTGATCATAGAGTTCTTTTTCATGACTCCTTCTGCCACGCCTTGCGTGTCTAGTGGTCTGCCTATCTGGTTCAGAATTATCCAAACTTAATTGGCTCCTCTCTGCTACAGCAGCAGCATGAGGCTGGTCATGCACTGAAGGATGCTTAGGGATGCCATCACTAACAACATTTGAAGATCCCATATTGACTTCGCATGCGCTGTTCTTCTGTTTAGAATTAGGTTTAACATAAGGTGGTGGGAGGGCATTATTGTAGCGGGGCTTGACCCTAGGTGTTTCGTCCTTTTGAACTTTCCCCTGCGAGTCATAAAAGTCAGGTGGGCCAGCACGACTGACAGTAGATGGTTCATTGACATTCCTCTTCAAACGCATTTCTGCATGACTGGGATTCAAGTCTAGCTTCTTGGCAGCTACAGTATCATGTAGGTTGACGCGATTAGCAGTAGATGGCTCATTGACATCCCTCTTCAAATGCATTTCCGCGTGACTGGGATTCAAGTCTGACTTCTTGGCCACTACAGTATCATGGCTTACTTTTTGAGAAGCGGCATCGCCCCAACCATCATGCCGCTTAGTGCCAACATCTATGTGTTCCACTCTTTTACCCTGCAATGAACAACCTGGTCCATTTGGATCTAACATAAAATCTTCTTTCCAATAACCTCTATTACTCTTCTTGGTAGCAGAGTCTAGCCTTCCCAGCAATCTATTGTCATGGCCATTCCTTCTCGAAATGACATCATTTCCACCATTTGTCTCCCCAACTCCATGTCTAGGGAGTTTGGATTCAGACCGAATATTATGATCATCACTCACTAAAATATCTGCTTCCTGGCGGTTGTGAAATCTATGCCCATCTTTAAGACGGCCAGGACTTTTCTGCAATGGAACATCACCCTTGAATCCTTTTATGACAGCATTGTTTCCAAGTGATGGCTTATTATGATCAGTCAAGCGGCTATAGTTATAATTATTGCCATCCTGCAGAAGTCATATATAAGAAGTCATTCCACTTTGAGAAACATTCTCCAACAGGTTTAGAACCTAATAAGAGAGAAACAATGTACAAAAGGGTAATTTTACTTGGAGCAGGTTAAAATTGGCAAAACACCGTTTAATAAGGAAGCTAAGTTCCTCATATAATTGAAAAGAAATGCTGAAAACAGCACCTGTACAAGAGGAGAGGGTTTCTGCATCCTCTGTTCAAAAGTCTTGGAGTCCCACATTATTGAAAACTCTGAAGCAATCTCCTGCATCAGGCGGACCTTCTTCTCCAATGTAAAAGGCCTTGAGTTCGCATTTTTAGCAAACTGTAAACAAGCAATTTAGCCCGTCATTTCAGGAACAGGTCAGGGATATGTAAAATTCACACAAAGATACAAGCATAATGAGTGACCTCTTGATTCACATAACATTCCATGGAATTCCCATATCTCTCCTGGAATATCTGCCTAAGATCACGTAACTCTGGTAGATCAGAAAATCTTGCAGCAGCAAACATCAAAGACGATACAGCATCCCTGCATTCCTCAGGGCATCCACTGTAAAAGAAATTGAAGCAATTAAAGTTCATGAATATTCCAACTTGACACGGGAGGATATCAGGACAAGATTGAAATCGCTGCTCAAATGCAATCACATGCGAGCATTTATCACACTCAACTGCAAACACATTGGCCAAGACACACAACTTTTATAAATAAAATACCTCCTCCCTCACCACTAAGTTGATTCTAAGATAGACCGAATGCTCACAGCTAGCTAGAAATGAGTTTAATCTATCAATCCACACATTTATATGTAGCAGTGAGGGCCACAAAGGCTGTCAGAAATCATGACTGAATGTCAGTCAGATATTCTGATGTTCACGCAAGGAGGAAAATGATGATATTGATGAGTGAAGTTTTAAAAGAAAACAAGAACAAACACTTAGCTAGGAACAAATAGAGAGGAAAGGACTCCCAGTGTGATGTGTGAACAACTTAAACTGCTGATGCTGATACATTTGTTTCATTCAAAAAGTTAACCGATTAAAAATGTGACAGGGCATATCGATATTGAACTTCATATAAGAAATCTCATGTCCATCTGTGTCCATGTAGATCAGTGGTTCGGTTGTGCCTTCTTCATTCATGTCCAAGAGCCATACCGTTACTCTACATGGAAGGCTGTTTTAGAGTACGAGGAATAATAAACCCAACAAGTCCAGCAGATTGACATGACTGGGCATCATTCTCTTCTTTTTTTTTGGCCAAGCAAACGAAATGAAATTAATGTTTAAGCAGGAATCACAGGAAAGGATTCATACCTCAGTTTCTGCATCACTGAGAGGTGTTTCAAGACAAAGTCACACGATTGCTCAACGAAATCATAACAAGATGATAGTGTCAATTCAGCAAGCAGCCCTTCAGCCTGTTTCAGCACCTCACAAGAAAGACAAGACTTTCAGAAAGTATTATAGGACATAAAAAGCAGTTGTGGATAGGGTTAATTAGAAAGTCTCTGAGATGCTTGATAATTGATAATAAATAAAGAGAAGAGACAGATAGTCATCATTCAGATACCCATGGAAAATCACGACAAAAATGCGGGGGAGAAGCAGTTCTCAGATAGGAAGCTGTCACTCCAAAGAATAAGTCATTGCCCACACACAATCAATTTAAACCGGTCATGACACTATTTCACAAGGACACTTCAGATTTTATCATGTCAGGGTGCTGGAATCCTTGTCATGTTTGTCGGCGCTTCTTAGGTTGTTCCACTAGGTTCCTTTTTGTACTTTTACCTCTGCTTCTATATTAATTAATTTGTTTGACAAACCTAGGATATTACCCGAGAGTGAAAATTGCACTTTCCAATTACCAGCAGAGCAGCAAATACAAAACATATACATGCTCGGCACCAACCACACAAATAACCAGAAATACTCGAAAGTATTCATTCCAGCCTTCAAGCAACCGGAGAATCAAACAAAACCCAGACCATAAGTAACATGAACAAATAAAGCAATTACCCTTCCGTGTGCATTGACGTCTAAATCATTGGCTAGCAGATCAGCAATGTCTTTCTTCAGAAACTTCTCAGTCGCCTTTCGCTTCCTTCTTATCACATCGATCCGACTCTTGGTCAGCTTGATCAGCGCTTTGCTGCGAAAATATAAAAGGAAACCCAAACACAAATGAACACATTCTCACATTTTTTCTCAAATACTTCATGATCAACAACCGAATCGAATCAAAACAGAGCAGAGACACAGCAACAAGGTGAGAGAACTAACCACTTAGCGGCAAAACCTCGACCAAGCAGGCCGTCCAACATGTTGGATCTCAGACAGCAGTCAACGCGGCAGCTCGACTCCGCAAACTAATCAACTCAGAACATGCGGTTCCCCTTGGATCAATCCAGGCAAGAGAAAACAATAGCACAGAACTCAACCAAGAAGATGAACAAGAATAAGGAGAGAGCAATTAAATTCGGAAAGAGCAAAAAGGCTTGAGTGAGTCTGACGCAGTGACAATTCATATTTTAAACTTACGATAATGACCTTTGGCTTTTGCCGTCAGGACCCAAGTGGGGTCAACGTCGATGAGACCCCCCATGTGAACGTTAGGAAGGATATTTTAGGGATATAAAATAGAAGGGTTGTTATCGCTTAAGGATAAGAATGTAAATGTGGATCAAAAGGAGTGACATTTACCGCTAGATTCGATTACTCTTTTTGAAGTCTAAGAAAGTAGCGGACGGTCACGATTTAAAGTTATTGATTTTCATCTTCTTTGGGCGGGGAATCTTTTCGGCGCGTGCTCCACGGAATAGCGTCCTCAGCTGTTCTACGGGTGTCAAAACTCGACCATCCTGTTTTTGAGCACAAGGGAAAAAAACAGAGATCACGGAGACGTTAATTCCGTTTATTAATTACGAATAGGAACGTATTAATTATGACAATTATTTGTGGACATCTATAAAAATGGAAGAAAGAATGCGCTTGAAATGCATAATTTATAACCATGAGATGAGGAAAAGTAAAGGAAGGTTATGATCACCTTCAATAATAATGTTGGTGATCGTGATTCGCGATTAATTTTGTGCTGGTGATTTGACCTTTATGTTTAAAAAAGTGGGGGGAAAAAAGAAGATGGGAGTGTTGCTTCTGTGACGAGCTTCATCCTTAAACAAATGAGTCAACCAAGACTTAATATTATCACTCTGAGCTCAACTTCAATAATGCAACCAATAAAGGCGCAGGAGTTACGTGTTTGCCTCTACTGTTTAAACAATAATCATCGTGTTCTTGAATGATGGAAATTACATTAAAATATATACATATATATTTAGGTTTTTTTTTAAAAAAAATACCTCTTAATATAAAAGATAGTTTGACTTTCAATTTAATCATAAATATAAATTCTCAATCTATTTTGTCTCTCATAGTTATTTATTTATTTTCTAAGATAATTTTATAATAATTATATATGTTAAAAATTTGATCAAATAGTAGTTTCAACTAATACGTATGATGAGTAAGAATATTGTAAAAAAAAACAATACATATTTATTACAAATAACTAATTTAATTAATTTTTTTTATTTTATTTAGATTATTCAACAAGCTTTTATATTGAGTACTGAATGCACCGTGTGTACATATTTGTTGAAATTTGAGGGAGTAGATATAACTTTAAATCCGTATAGCGAATATCACATGACTGAGTGGAAGAATTGACCATCCGTCCAGTTGTGTCCACCCCATCCAGCAGTTGCGTGTCCAAAGAATCAACATTTAATTGGAAGTCATCGGCTTTGTTTTCTTCCTCCCCATCCTGAAAAGAAACGGCACCAACAAAACAATTCAATTTAATTCAAACTATTTAAATACTTGATAGCACTCATTTAAATTTCATTGCATTTGATAGTTTAATTTGATTTCTCTATGATTTTCATATGAATTTGAAATAATAACAACAATAATAATAGAGGACTTCAAGCATTTATATTTTTGTGCTACGAGGAAGAGGAAAAAAAAAAAAGGCGAATTTGGGGATCAACAAAGTGTGGCTAGCCGAAATGAAAGTAATGCAGGCACGTTGGCTGGTTGTGATGGGGACGGCGAAGGGAAACATAATTAAGTTTAGCCTGGCCTATTGTTTGCTTTTTGTCCCAGTCTGTAATCTCTTCCGTGCTTAATATAGAACTTAATTATTGAGTTAGTTTTAGTCCTAAATATAAGACCTATTTCTGATATTTATCAATTGTCTCTAAGTTACTCCTATGGATACTCCCTCAATTATAAATCAAGTAGAAAAATGAGAGGCGGTATTAAGAAATATGATTATGATGTTTTAAAAAAAACGTGTTACATTTTTTATAATTAACTAACTTACTTAATTTTTTAATCTAATCAAATTAATTAAATAGGTCTTATATTAAGGATCAGAAGTGTATAAACATACATCTTCGGACTTGTTCTAAATCCCAACTTGGTGCCGTATGGTTTGAGGCAAGTATATTTCTTGCCTTTTAAATTCTTTTGTTGGAGTATAAATGGGATAAAAACAAATTATTACCAAACAAGTGCGAATACTCGTTACCAAATACATGTTGGACACAGTCAAGATTATGACGTGTTTGTGTTTGTGTGTGAGTTTGATTGGTAGTAATCAGATATATATAAACACACTAAAAATAATTCGTTTCAGGAATTCCAAATATATATATTTGTTTTTCTTGAAAGGGCTTCCAGCTTGAAAATTCTTCCATATGACAAATTGATGGTGGTTAGGTCCAATATACTCCTCTGGTCCTAATTATAAGACCCAATTGATTTATTTGAGAAAATTAAGGAAGTAAGTTAAGTTGGTTATTTATAATAAATAAGTGTTGTCATTCCTAAAATATCCTTGCTAATTAAGTATATTGGCTAAAACTATCATTATTAGAAGGATTATCTTGGAAAAAAATGCATAAATATAAGAGACAAAATGGATTGGGTCTTATAATTAGGACCAAATAAAAGTCAAATTGGGTCTTATAATAAGGACCGGAGGAGTAAAAGTTTATTGACTAATGAGTAGATTAAGAAAATAAATTAAGTTAATTATTTATAATAAATAGATATTTTTCCTAGATTAGTTTATTGGCTACAACTATAATTATTAGAAAGATTATATTAAAAATAATAAATAAATATGAGGGTAAAGTAGATGGGTCTTATATTAGGACCAAAATAAAAGTCAAATTGGATCTTATACTAAGGATTAAAAGTAGTATATAATTAGGCTTTTAAAAGAAAAAAAAAACGTGTCTCCATTAAAAGCATGTGCCTCCCAACAAGTATGCTTCTCGGAATTCGAACTTGTGTTATACTATTTATGAGAGTGAGACTGTTTATTATCTTAACAATCAACTTGTTGGTGTGCAGTGCATATTGATGAGAAAAACACATAACTTAGCTGTATGAGTTACATGTAACGAAAATATTTTCTCACAACTCGGAAAAATATTTCAGAAAACAAAACAAGTATATGGCAGAAATTAAATAGCACAAGAGACACAAAAAATTATTAACATAAAAAACCTCTCAATGCAAGCGTAAAAATCACGAGTCATCTCGCCCAAAGAAAATCATAGCTTCACTGTGATTAAAACAAGATACAAGAGAGTCTCAACTATATACATAAACAAGTGCAAACAACTAGCCAAATACTCAAAGCTACGAGCTTACAAAAGAGAATGAAGAGGCTGAAATATACTCCAAACCAAAGGCTATAGGATGAACTCAATATCTCCAACGCTAGGCCATGATTTGACAATCCCTCTGTTAAAAATGACGTATTGGGTGTTGTGAAATTATTGTCCAAATTTCAACCCAATCCAATTATTAACAAACGCACATAAATGCCGACCGATTTACTGAAACTATCTTGTGAAGATGTAAAAATAGTTTTCTCTCTTCTTCTCTCCCCAAATGGTGCTTTTTTTTCTCAAATGAAAACTCACCCTTAACCCTAACTTGTCCCCTCTCCAATTCAATAAGTGAGATTTAAATGGTCTTTAAATATTGGGTTTTCCTTCAGATAGGAGGGGAGCCCCAAACCTATCGCATATTTTCTTTGCACGGGTAGAATAAATTGCATCTACCGTGACTTTTCAATACTCTAGTTACTATTTACTTTTAGCTTCTTTTTTTTTTGGTGAAATAAAGGGGCCAAGCCCATCAGTTACATGACAACTATTCTTCTTGGGGTTTCAAACCCAGCAGCATCAAGTTTGACCAGTTCTTCCACCCAATCCGGCGACGTATTCCAAACGAGTCTTCTCTGATTCATTTTGTTGCTCATAGTGGCGAGTTTATCTGCGACTTGGTTCCCTTCCCTGAAAATATGCTTGAAGTCGAGCTGCTATTGAAGGATGAGCAGTTCCTTCAGCTTCCTTGAGATCTGGTAACAACCCTTAATTTCCGCTCCCTGTCTGATTTCCTGGACGATCTGCTCCGCATCGCATTCAACTTCAATTTTCTTGAATCCCATTTGTCTGCATAAACAAAGTCCTTCAATTATTCCCCACGCTTCGGCTTGTCTGATATCACACTTCTCTAATTTTACTGTAAATCCACTCAGCCACTCTCCACAATCTCCCCTTATCACTCCTCCGCATCCTGCTTTTCCTTTGTAGTTGATGCTTCCATCCGTATTAAGTGTGCACCAATCTTTTCTTGGAGGTAACCATTTAATTCTTCGAATTTCCACTTGCTAATATCTGTCTCCTTGTTCCTCCCATCTTGCCGTATAATTTCTAATGTACTGTCTAATGATGTCATCTGCTCTCCAGGGTCGCCTAAAACTCTCATCATGTGCTTTACTATTCCTCCATTGCCAGATGAACTAGCAAACAGTGGCGAAGGTTTCAGGCCATTGAGCTTCCTCTAGATTGCATCCTTTATAAAGAACATTGTTCGGGAACCAGCTTTCTCAATTACCACTGAAAAAGGAATTCCTTCGTGCTTCAGGTATGAATTTCATCCAAATTCTAGCCGCTTCAGGACAGTCCCTCATAGCATGAATGAGATCCTCCTTTGTTTGTTGACAGCTTTTGCATGTCCCTTGTCCTCCATCCCATTTCCTTGTTATCTCTTGGGTTGGGAGTCTGTTGAGCGAGGCCCTCCAAAGAAAAATCCCGATTCTTTCAGGAATCTGGAGTTTCCACATCTTCTTCCAAAACAATTTGTTTCTTGGTTCTGGTGCTCTGATTAGAGCTTTATAAGTACTTGCTATGGTGAATTCGCCTTTTGTGTCAAGGCTCCATATGATCATGTTCGTCTCCTCGTTTTTTTAGTTTCGGCATTTCCCCTAATTTATCTCTTATTCGTTCCGGCAGTACTTGATTCAGTGGGGTAAGATCCCACGTACCATCCTCCTTGACAAGATCTTTTACACACAGGGATCGATCTATGTCTTGTGTATCTGGCACAAGTGAAATTAATCTACCTACACCTCTGATCCAGTTATCTGTCTAGACTCGGGTTGATTCTCCATTTTTGACCTCCAAGAAGGCATTCTCCTCAAACAGATCCTTGAGCTTGCATAGTTCCTTCCAGAGCTGCGAATCAGTTCTTTTACTAGTCATTTCATTCCCCCTTACTAGTTCTTGACAGTATTTTGCTTTCAACACCTATACCCACAGTGCCGTCGGTTCATTTCTAAATTTCCAAATCATCTTTAATAGAAATGCATCATTCATAACCTGTAAGGACTTAATTCCCACTCCTCCATAATCTTTGGGTTGACATAGCTTATCCCAAGAAATGGCATGCCATCTCCTATTTCCTTCCTGCTCTCCCCAAATGAACTGTCTCTGTGCTTTTTCAATTTCTTCCACGATGTCCTTGGGCAGTCTTCCATGTTGAAGAGGATAAAGGGACATTGAGCTTGTGACTGCTTTCACTAAGGTGATCCTTCCCACCAGTGATAAGCTCTCCGCCTTCCATCCACTAAGCTTACTCTTGATCTTCTCCAGGATGCATTTATATTTGTCTTTCTTCTTTCTTGGAAACTCTATGTTCGCTCCCAGATATTTACCCAGGTCCTCAACTGCCTTGAATTTGCATTTATCACAAATCTCTTTTTTAGTGCGCTGCGAGACATTTGGTGAGAAATAGATTTGTGTCTTTTCACAGCTAACCTTGTGTCCAGAGATCTCTCCAAAAACCTGCAAAACCTGAAGAATTATGTCAATTTGAGGCATTTCTGCCTCTGCAAATAAAACAAGGTCATCAGCAAACATCATGTGAGAAATTATAGGGCCACTCCTTCCAGCTCTCAAACCTCTCCACTTTCTCTCTCTCACTTTGTCAAGGATAAGATGGGTAAGTTTTTCCATGCCTAGCACGAAGAGATAGGGTGAGATGGGATCGCCTTGTCTTAGTCCTCTTGATGGTTTAAATTCTTCTAATTTGGAACCGTGCCACAAAATCTGAGTTCTGGTGGTACTTATACAGTTTAAGAGTCTCTGTGTCATTTCTTCAGGGCATCTCATTTCCTTGAACACTTTTGCTATGTAGCCCCAACTCATTTTTACTTTTAGCTTTATGTGTAACTAATATTAGTTCAGATTCATTGAATTGAATATGTAAGTCTAGTACAAAAATGATGAAAGGACTTCAATTATTTATTATGTACTTGTTTGATATCGGGAAAAATAACAAATAAAGACCCTCTAATATGTAAAATTATTATTTAGGACTCTCAATTTGAAAAATGACAAATAAAGACTCGATCTCATATTGCAAATATGAAATCTTAGTGAAATGCCTAAAATCACAACTCAGGTATGCCAAATGATAAGTTAACTATGGAAATGACATATTCAACTTTAGCGAATAACAATTTCAGTAGACCAAATGGCCCAAATAGCAATTTCACATATTGAGGTCTTTATTTTAAAATAATAATCCTGCAAAATAACTAATAACAGGTTTTTTTTAAAAAATAAAAAAGTATTTGATTTGTTAAAAAAATATGTAAAATAGTGAAATGAAAAGTAAAAAAATGATTTGCTTTATTAACATATATAATTGTCGTTAATAAACCATCTTCTCTTTAATAATGTAGTGGAATAAAAGATAAAAAAATATTCTATTTTTTTATCCTTAAAACACATGGCCCAAAGTGTATTTTCCAAAATATTTTCAAAAATGGTTTTTTTAAATATCTCAACAAATTTGTTCTGTAACTAAGAAATGAAGCCAGTCTTTACATCTGTACATGTTTAATAATAGCAAGTATGAGATGACAAATAAAAAATCTATATAAAACCTAAAAGCTGGAGTAAAATGTTGTCTTCCTCCTCACAGCCATGGAGACAACAACAAAAGCAGGATTAGGAAACTAGATGCTGCTGTGATTTATTTAATAAATAGGTACACATCCAAGTTAACTTCCCAACACTTAATTAACGAACTCATCTACATAAGAAGCATCCCTCACAAAGTAGTGATCCAGTGTCACCTTGTTGTTCCCAGAAGCGCTGGCCCGGGGGGGGGGGGTTCAGATCATGTAAAAGAAGTTCAGATTAAAGACAGGAGGTGGATGATAAAACGGAAGAGGTAATTGTCATGATGAAGCAAGTCGCGGCGGACCAGCCTGATGAGGACGGTGTTGGGAGGAAGAAGGCCGCTGTAATAGAGCAAGGTGGACACCGAAGCAACTGGCTCCCCGATCAGCGAGCTGAACAGCCTCAATATCCATCTCACCATCGAACTTGCCAGAGACTGCATCCACCAACCACATTCACAATCATCATCAGCTTATATATATGTTATTCAAAAACAGAAAGAGAGAGAGAGAGAGAGAGAAGAATCGCAAGAATAGTAATCATCAGATTAGAATGAAGAGATGTGGGAAGCGAAATAAGACCATGAGCGTGAGGTGAGGGAGGGATCATAATAGCTAGAGGTTCAGAAATGGAGAAGGGGCTACTTGTTTGTTTATTCATCTCATCTCATCTCTTCATCTCAATTCTTCTTCGTCTGCGTAATTGCGGCCACAAGTGTAGAACTAACATTCCCACCTACCCTTCACCAACCTTTCTGTTCTTCTTATCTTAATTAGCTCACCAGGCACCTCCCCCTCCACTCTCACCAATAAAGAAGAGTAAAGAGGGCAATACGAACCGGAAAAATTAAAGGCCCCTTGGGATCTATGTTGCCGCATCCATAAAGTTAGCCTCCTCTGTTTTTAACGCATATGATCACTTTTCTGCTCCTTCAATTTAGAAGCCCAATAACTAATTCGTATAAATAAAAAATATAATTGAATTAGTTATTTATAAAGAAAAAATATGTTTTGATTTATTAAAGATATTCTTGATTATCTACCATGGAAAAACTATGACTATGGATTGTAAGTATTAATTAATGTGAGTTATTAATAGGGGTAGTTTGAGAGAAGATACTTCCTTCCTCCAGTTATTTTTATAATATTTTATTAACTGCTTTTATAAAATTAAGAAAAGTAGTTAAATATTATGACAAAAAATAAGTTTAATCACCAACCAACCACTAAAAGATAAAGAAAACGCTGGCAAAAAAGAGAAAACACAATAATAGTGGTACATATCTAAAAACAAACTTCATCCAAGTCACACGAGATAGTAATTACCAGAAGCCGAACAAAGCTGATTGGGCAGGTCCGATTGGTTTAACCAGTCTTTGCCAATTTTCTAGCCCATCATCATGTCTTTTGCGCTCATATATGATAAATGCCCTGTGTTGATGAAAGTTATGGCGTCTTGAGAACACATCAAAAATTTTATATTTTCCTCGTTATGTGTAATAAACCTAGACAGAAGAACAACACAACACTTCATTGTAAAATTCAGCGCTTTCCGGACTTGACGAGGTGGCATCTTGAGAATGCATAGATGCACATCTATTTACGCCTTCCCTGTGCAGTGTCAGTATAATCTTTATTTTTATGTCAAAAATAATTTAACACCTTTTTTTTTTTTTGGCAAATTCAAAACATTTTTAACTATTAGTGTTGATCCATTATCCTTTGTTCAATATTTGATGTCTCGTGATTTTTAAATTTGTAATTAATCAGTACACAATTGTTTGCTGATTTTGCGTGAGATTGAGTGCTTAAAAGAGGGAATTGCACTTTTGATGGCTAGGATTAGGAAATTCGGATCAGCAAAGGGTGGATAGGTTTGATCACGTGATTCAGAAACAGATCGTTTTATAATGAAGACTTGGGCCGAGAAAAGGGGAGAAAGAACATCCGGAGAGTTAAAAGATGGGCTTACTTTATTGGGCCGAATCTATACTTGACTGGCCCAGTGGAAAAAACACAAAAATTGTTGAGAGTGGGATTTGAACCCACGCCCTTTCGGACCAGAACCTTAATCTGGCGCCTTAGACCAACTCGGCCATCTCAACTGTGTTGACCATCTTGTTTTCTACCCTCTACATGTGGACACAGCACCACATCACGGCCAAAGATTTTGAGATTATTTCGAAACACGATACTGAGCATAGCATAATTTAGGCAAGAACATCAATAATGAATACGCGATGGATCCAAGTGGCAGAAACGGAGCTCGAATCTTGCAATTCCCCGAACTCTCTAATCTTTATGGTCACAATCAGTGGGGCGAATTTCAGTTTGTCCACTGCCACTCTTGTTGGCCCATTCAAATGGTAAGCGTTTTTGTGTTCACAGGGCCCACAAGATCAGAAGATCATTTGGGGGCTTCCCCTGTAGTTCTGACTATCCCACAGCTTAACTTGCCAAATAACAATTGAATTCTAGCGCATCAGCCTTTATATTTAATACCCACTTACACCCATCACCAGTTTAGCCCCACCTCTCTTCTCGCCGCCAAAACAGAAACCTTGATGTGTCACTAAGCATGTGGTAAATTAATTGACACCTTCACCATCCAAATTTAGCTGCATATGATCCTTCACCATTTTTTAAGTCAGTTGCTGTACTCTTAAATCCGATGATGTGTTATTCTTTTGTACATTTAGACCAATGAATTTCTCATTACAACCAACATATCACATCCATCTTCATTATTACCAACGTTATCACATTAAAAAATCTGACAATTTTCAACGTATAGATCATATGGGCATCGTATGATGTTTAGGCGAATTGTTCTGTTGGCGCCACACAAGGAAGGCAACATCACAGATTCTGGTTGAAACTTAATGTTTTGTGCCACCTGTTGCGTGCATCCAACAAGACCATTGATGAAAAGAGACGCTCGGATTAAAGTTGCCCAATCATATGTCTCGTTTACCTATCAATGTCTTTGGCTGTCCCTGTTCCTTTCTGCTTTGTCCAGCACATGATTGTTACAGTTTAGGTGGACACATGGCGAGGCATAGGGTCTCTGTGTCATAAGTCACAGTGTTTTGATCGTCAAATTCTTCATCATGTCCCTTCCCTCGGTTCACTTTAGGACACAATCATCCCCTCACGCTCCCCTCTTGCTCCTGTTTCGAATCTAAATCTTCATGTGGCTAATGAAAGCTCACCAAGTACACATATGTGGCTCCAAATGCCACTGCAGAATTTGCTTCTTTTGTCTTCTCTTCCTCAATATGTCCTTGAAAGATCTTTGTTTCACGCGAGAGAATATTCCAAGCTAGCTAGGTTCCCAGAAAGTCAAGCTAGTTCTTAAATGCACATGACGCCAAACAGCTAAAGCCGAGAGTAGTTGCAGAACTGATGAAATTAAATTCTCAACTTTTACACATCATGTCCGTAAAACCCTGATCCAGGATTAAAGTTTGCTGAAACTTATTCATCTTACCGACATTACAGTGACTTGGGTTGTCTCTGCTTAAGCCAAACTTCACCTCTACGTACATATAATACATGTACAAAATTAAGATATTATTATCACTCTCCGCACGCTAAAATTCTCCAGGAGTACGCAGGACCGTGATAGAATTGGAACAGTACAACGTTGAACTTGCGAAGACTCGTTAACGTGTTCTTTAGTCTGGACCCTTCTTGATGACACGTGTTGAAGTCCACGTACTGCTGCAGATCGCAGTTAGATTTCGTAGATCTGGCCTGAGTCTTAGGGCACTTTTAATGAAGCCTCCATTTTCTTCTCACCTGGCTGACATAGAAACTAATCTGATCTTTTGTGATAAGCATGCACTTTAAAATCTGGCTCATCTTACCTTAAATATCTGTCTCTTTCATCCATTCTTCCTCTCAATATAATACCGTCCTTGTTTAATCCGCACATACACCGTTGTAATCCTGTCCCATTCATAAGCTGACTATGTCCTTATATGTACAGCTCAAGCCTTGAAATGAATTACATAAAAATATTTCAAGTGCAATTGAACTACAAAATCAAAATACTTGAACTTCAAATCATATATAAATGAATATAATTCATTCACATACGAAACTCATTGGTTTTAGTTAATTAGTTATTTCAAATAATTTCAGGCTGCCGTTCAGATCCCCATCTGATAATTAAAGTCAATTAGCACACTATTAGCTAAGAGAGATGATCAGTGAAAAAGCTTGGGTTTGTTCGCCGTTAAGTAAAAGTGATTGGTGGACTCAGTAATCCATGTGTTGGTGACTGTTGCTATATATAAATGGAGTCGTTTACCAAACTTACACCCTAAAACGGAAAACCTAATTCTGCTGTGTGTTATCAAATCCCTTGACCAATAATCCACCAATCAGCTACTCAATCTTCTTCAATCACACTATCAATATAGTTTTTTTTCTGATTAACCAAACAATTGGAAACTGTCCTACGTTGGTATTCAAGACTCGTGAGCTTCATAATTTAATGATATACTATAATGTCAAAATAGGGTATTGATATAAGATTTACCTAATTAACTTGGATAGTTGTAGAAAACTAATTAAATTAGGTATTTGTTAAAAATCTGTATTAGTTTTCTTAAAATATCCTCTTCCATCCTCTACATTGAAACTGCCAATGATACCAACATGTTTAACATGGACTGGGCTGAGGGACAAAACTAATTGAAGTCTTAGGACCAAACTCAAACCTCCAATTAACTTTAATATTAAGAATGGAGGCAGTAATTAATTACTGCATTAGGGAGGCCAGAGGGGACCCAATGTTATTATATATGCTATGATTACCTACGCGGGCTTGATTGTGTGGTGGATTACTGACGAGATTGAATTGAAAAACAAATCAGAGGAGCACAATTAATGAGGCTGGTTTGACAAGAAAAGAGAAGGAATATATATATAGAGAGAGAGAGAGAGGCGGGGGTAATAAATAAACAAGAACTGGATTTGAGATGTAATGGATTTGTATGTGACAGTGAGGGGGTGCATGCAAGAATAATGAAGACGCAGAGGAGCTAAATAAGAAAAAGAAGAGCATTTTTTTTTTTTGGGGGTCCACAAAATGAAAGACAGGTGTTATTTATGTCGTTGTCATGCCTAAGTAGGTCCGCCCAATTAATGTAGATACCTTGAAGCAAAGGGCAGTGCCCCTGCTACTATATTTGACCATTTGGGGAATCTCTGAACAAACAAAGCGTATATGGCATGCAGTCAAAACCCTTATTCCAAGCTCCTTTCACACTGGGATGGTCATGCTTCTGATTTGCATTATGCTTTAATAATAATATGTTGTTCTGCAGATAGATATTATTGGTTTGGTTCCTACTGTAGTGCTGATGCAGGATGGAGATTGGAGAGGCAAAGGAAAAATACGGCGCACTTAGCTTGCACTAATGCAATAATAATAATAATAAGAATGGGTTGAAGCCAAGTTATTAGGAGGATTAATTATATGTTTTGGTGGTGGCCAGGGGGAGATATATATATATATATATATATTCACACACGTAGGGTGAGTATTCTTTTCTTGGAGGCATATGCTAGGGCGCGGAATATAATTCACGTGTTCTTGGAGCCCCACCCCGAGTGCCCCAAGACCTCTGCATAAGCATAATAGTACCTTCGATCCTAATTATAAGAGCCAGTTAACTAATTTGAGGAGATTAAGGAAGTGGTTGAGTTAGTTATTTGTCCTAAATAGGTGTTGTCTTTCCTAAAATATCCTCACTAATTAAGTGTATTGACTAGAACTATTATTGTTAGAAAGGCTACTTTGAAAAAAAAAATGTATAAATATGAGAGACAGAGTGAACTGGGATCTTATAATTAGGACCAAAATAAAAGTCAAACAGAGTCTTATATTAAGGACCGGAGGTAGTAATATATTGCTCCAATTAAAGATGCCTTAGCTTCCAGCTCTTCCGCTCCTATCATATTATATTATATTAATTATTCCCCCCATTACCACTTTTGTTAAGTAATGGATCTCTCCTTTCCCCAACGGGCAACCTCCAATCAACCATCGTCCACATTCTCATCCCTCCTCTCCGCATATAAATATATACACCACCTCCGTCCAATTTATAAAATCTCATTTATAGACCGCAAACGAAGTTTTATAAATAAAATTGGAGATAGTGTGTGTATATATATATATATATATATATATATCTTTCCGCTACTTATCTCTAAAACTAGTTACTATAGTATTTTATACATTATGTGTATTAGAGGTTGGAATGAAAACCTTTTTCCTACCCTCACGTTGACTTCAACCGAGTTGCTCTTCTGGCTTCTTCACGGGGCTCACCATGGATCCATCGGAGAAACTTTCGTAAGAGTACGAAATGAAATTACCAATCATCTGCTCCCCGGCGTTGAAACACCATAATACCAATGGAGAAGATTACACGTGGACCAACCAGGGGACGACGCGTACTCGAATCTTAACCCGCTGTTCAAGTCAAGCTAGCCTTTTCTTTATTCCTCCAATTCCATTTCTTTATTTCGCCAATGATCACACTGATTTTTCATTTTAAAAATAAATAAATCCTGTCCCCGAATCTAAAGTATAAAATATTGCAATCACGGTCTGCCGTGTTTTCTCTGCTCATACAGCCATTTTCATGTGCTCATTCATTTTCCTCCCCGCTGCTTTCCCATCATTGTTAATTTAATTAATTTATTTGTTTTCCATCAAATCAAACTTTTTTAATTATATATATAGTTATAGTTATATACATATTTTGTAATTTCTCACTGCCCCCCGAAATAGATAGCTTTGTCCTTACCATAATATTGTTCCCTTTTGGCTAAAGGTATCTAAACCTTCGCCACTTGTCACTGTTCATTCCAATCTCTTTCGCATGAAAACCATATATCAAAATCAAGCTGTGATATATATTCATCTTCAAACTTCATCCGACCATTTAATTATAATAACAATCGTTAAATTTAACAAATCAATACTCAAAATAAAATACTTCTCCGGTCCTTAATATAGGACCTAATTGGTGAGTTAGTTTTAGTCCTAAATATAAGACCCATTTTTTATATTTATCAAGTTTTTCTAAATTACCCCTATGGACACTCCTTCAACTATATCAAGTAGAAGTAGAAGAGAAAAATGAAGTATTAAAAAAGATGATTATGGTATTTTAGGAAAAACGTGTCACATTTTTTATAATTAACTAATTTATCTAACTTTCTTAATCTAATCAAATTAGTTAAATAGGTCTTATATTAAGGATAGGAGGAGTATAAGAATTTTAACAAATGGTCACATTGGTTAAGCTGCCCCTCAATTGGTCATGCTCGGTTAAATCCTCGAAAAAGATTAGGGAGCGATAACGCAGCAGCACCCAATGAAAAGCGGGTCGTTTAGTCCAATGGGGACCACCCCACTTGCGCACTCACTCGCGCTCTTTAAGCGTTTCTCTCACTCTCTCAATACGCGCGTGCTTCCCGTCGTTTGTCCCCTTCCAAAATATCTCAACCCCCATCAGGCATGACGTGTCACAAAAATGGGTTTTGACAAAAAAGGAAAAAGAAAGAGGTATGTGGGTCCATCTCGTCGCTCCCAAAGATCGCCACGTTAGCCGCATCTGTTACTGTGTGCGCGTCCCTTTATATATACGGTGGTGCTCCATCATCCTTGAGAAAGCGAACCTCCCACCAAAAATAGAAAAACAGGCTCAGTCAGATTCACACAAACACACCCGCATCGTCCAGAGAGAGAGAGAGAGAGAGAGTATGGGATGGAGCAGAACGACGTGATTGCGCCGTTCGTCATGAAGACGTACCACATAGTCAACGATCCCAGGACCGATGATCTCGTCGCTTGGGGGCCAGCCAATAATAGCTTCATCGTCGTCGACCCTTTGGATTTCTCCCGCAGGATCTTACCAGCGTATTTCAAGCACAACAACTTCTCCAGCTTCGTTCGTCAGCTCAATACCTATGTTAGCTTCCTCCATAACTTCCATGGAGTTTTCTTTTCATTTAACAGCCTCTTTTATTTAAGCATCGCAATCTTTGCTTTCTTATCATGTGCATGTGTGTGATGGAATTCGTGATAGGGTTTCAAAAAGGTGGATCCAGATCGATGGGAGTTTGCGAACGAGTGGTTCCTTCGGGGGCAGAAGCAGCTGTTGGTGAACATAGTGAGGAAGAAGCAGCACAAGAATAAGAATATTATGTGTTATCATGAGGGTTTGGAGGGAAGCTGATGGAGGAAGTGGATGAAGAAGTGTTGGTGATGGAGATAGCGAGGTTGAAGGAGGAGCAGAAGGCGCTGGACAAGGAGGTGGAAGGGATGAATAAGAGGTTGGAGGCAACGGAGAGACGACCTCAGAAAATGATGGCGTTTCTGTGCAACGTGGTGGAGGACCCTGATGCTCTATCCCGCGTATTGGCCAAGAGAGAAGGAAGACAGTTGGCGGAGAAGAGGCGGCGCCTGATATCATCGGCCGCCGCTGCCACCACCTCGTCCTCGTCTTCGTCTGGCATGGCTGTCAAAACAAAGGTGGAAGAAGACGAGGCAACTGTGGTGGGAGGTATTATGCCTTGGTCGCCGGAGACTACTGGTTTCGAAACTCGTAATTTTTGTCAATCTTCTCCGCCGCAGGAATCATCACCGTATTGGTGGGGCAAAAGCCAGGCAACACTTGACACACCTCCTCGGAGTCAACAGAGTAATAGCGACACCACCGTTTCCACGGCGGTGGGAACCGTATGGCCGCCTCTAGGAGGGACGTATTCGGAATGTCACGCCGGTGACGGTCAATTATTGACATGTTTTACAGATATGGCGCCGGATACCCAGAGCAAACCGAGGCCGCCGCCGCCGCCTTATCCATTTTCGCTGTTGGAGTGGGGCTTTTAGATATGCTTGCTTCACAAAATTTGTGTCAGATTCTGTCTTTGGTATCAAGTTATAATTCTAATTCTAATTATATGTGCTCCAACATTGTTTATGGAGATTTTTTTGTTGTTGTTTAATCTGTTCAAAACATCTTTCCCAGCTATAGACTTCTAGGTAAAATTGAAAGTTTAACCTTGCCCTGCGACTTTTACTTATTAATCTTAAATACACTGGTTGAGTTGTACGCTTTATGAAGAACAACTGATAAATTTTAATTTGGAGGAGGCTTCTAATTTATCCACACTACATTTTTAATTTAAAACCCAACCTGTATGGAGGACGCATTCGCCTATAAATCTATCTTGAGTACGCTAAGCTAGTTGAGATGTGAATTTCCGAGAGGATTGATAAATCTTAAATTTAGAAATTATAACTCATATATAACAAATTTATAGTTTAAGCGACAATATGGCTAATCAGACAGACGTACAACCAAGAGTTCATGTTTCTTTTTTCTTTTTTTCCCCTTCCATTTTTTTGTCAGCACGGTACTAATTGGTGTAGCGAGTGATTTAAAAAGTGAAATATATTTAAATTGAACAAAATTTGATAGGAAATTTAGCCAGAGGAGACCATCTATGTAACTACGACGCGAAATCAAAACAAGCTCCAGAAGAGTGAGGACAATGTAACAATATATATTTCTATAATCTTGCAAATAAACGAATAATACGAGTACATGACAAGTTGACAGTGAGGGGTGTGTGTGTGTGTTGCATAATTGAAATGGGAAAAGGTTTTATATAGGAAAATATCTTCAAACTCTAGCTTGAAAAGTAATGAAAATAAATATTTTAAAATAACAACTATTGTATTTTTTTAATACTTATTCTGAATATGTTTCCTTTAAATCAAACGTGATGACGAAGCTGCTGTCGAGCAGTGGTTGGGTGGTTGCAAGAACAATTACGAAGGAGATCGATCATCGTTAATTATGAAATGCTTTAGGCTATGTTGTGGATAGAAAAAAACTGAGACAAAAATAAAAGATAAGTATTGGGAACAAATTTTTTTTTTGAAAGTAGTAAAAAATCAGGTATTTTTCCCCCCTGATTTTTTTTCATCCGAGCACGAAATTAAAGTAAGGAGTCGCGGGGTTGATAACGAGTTTAATGACTAAGCCCTTTGTGTGAATCTGTTGACAATTGGGTGATCAGCTATATTAATTAGCATCGATAAAACATTAAGTTTGTCCAGGTTATTAAGTAGAATTAATTGAAAAAAAAACTTAATTGGTTGTTATAAGAGACACAGGAAAGCAAATTACAAATTGAACCAAAGGATGGGAAACAATGATGATGAGAAGTGTCGCCCCATCACTAATTGACCACTTGCGACCCGTTTTGAATAGTTTATATATAATTTTTTAATCATTTTACAAAATGGAGATAAGTATATGAGAGAAATTTTATCTCAGCTTATATAACATACTTATAAGTACTTCCTTCAGTCCTATTTATAAGTTTCATTTTCAAAGATGGGTCTAATGCAAAATATAAACTTTATTTTTGAGTTTGTTTAAGCATTTATTACTTTTCTTCCTATTTTACCCTTAGTTAACTATATTTAGTACTCTCTCACACACATATTAATATCATCTCATATATTCTCTTTCATCATTTTTTCATTCTCATTTACTCTCTTAATAAATAAGAATGAATTTGGAAAAAAAAAAATATTTTTACCTATTTATTATTCTTAACTATTTTAAGTGTTAGTTCGTTAAACGTAATTCAATGATTTAAAGTTTATATATAAAACTAGAGGTAGTAATTTTTAATATCATGCCAAATAGGGCATGAGAAGCTAGCAAAGACGGTCTAAAAAAAATCGTCAATTTGATCTTTTGTCAACAGTACGGTACAGGTGAGTCTCTGCTCTTTTTAACTTTGATTTTTATTTTAAATTTGAGAGAGGCTCAACTGGGGAGATTGAATTCACAGACTCTGTCACCCACAATGATGGATTTTTTTTTATTTTACTATATACGAAATGAATATGTATTTATTATCATAAAGATATATTATTTTCAGTCTTTATGTAAAAACTATATGACTAATTTGAGAGAAGATTAAAAAAATTATTTAAATTATTTATTTGTAACAAATGTGTTTTGACTTTTTTAAATTACTATTCTTCAATCATGTACATTGAAACTACGCTAATTAGGTGGTAAAATATTTTACAATCAATAGGAATATTTTTAAGAACACATTATAAATAAAATAAAAAAATAAAA